GATCTAAGCTGGCTTCTAGGAGAGTGTACAAAAGGATCAGGAAGGATTCAGAAGAACAAACGCCACCAGCACCAACTCAGAGCTGGGAGCTGCCATGGCTACCAAAGAGAATCTGTAGAGATCGGCCAGCTCAGGGCTTTAAGAACAGCTCTCTCTCCCTTGGTGGCAGCTGAGAGACCAAGAATTGAAAGTGACATCACAAGATAGAGGGAGCCTAGATCCTTGAGTCACTGTGCAAAGGAGAGCCACCAAGGAAAGCAGCTCAACTCTCATTAGATTTTACAACAGAAACTGTGTGTTGAACCACTGAGATGTGGGGATTGCATATTACTGCAACAGAGCCTACCATTATCCTTAGGTAAGCCTCCAGAGGAGGGGCAAGATGGTTTTGGAGAGGGTATTATTGCTCAGCCACAGGTAAAATATTTATGTTGTAGTGAGATTTGGATGGGGAAAAAATAGGCACCATATTAATGAGAATGCAGACTCTGAAAGTAGCTTGTCTAGATTCATATTCCAGGTCTACCCCTTGTTATCTGTGTAATCTTGGGCCGTGTTAAGACACCTCTCTTTTAGAACAAAGATGAAAACCCAGCACTAACGGAGAGCCTGGGCAGCTTTATAATCCAATCCAAGCTGTGCACATGGGAAGGGAACAGGTTTAGCAACTGCTAGGAGGACTCCGTCTGAATGCTCACAGAGCATCCTCATGGCAGGTCTGGGCAGGCCCTTCCCTGCAAAGAGACAAGCTTTGGGTTCTAAGAGCCACTCCACCCCTTCAGCGGCTCCAGTCCTGCTCCACCCACCACAGGCACAACACGACATGGCACACGTCCCTCGAACAGGCCAGCTCTGGACAGAATCAACCCTACTCCCAGGATTATCACGGTTCTCTCTGGACAGGACAGGTGGCCACAGCTAGAGGCTTTTCCTACTTGTCTTGCTTTGTTTTCCTCCCTTCTCCCTCCAAACTTCATGAAACCTTTGCTTGGAAAGTCAAACTCTTTTTTAAGCCATGCCTCTGGCCACCCCAAACTTCTCAATACCGCTCATTTTGTCGAAAGAGAACAGCCGTCGGAAACTACATTCCCAGCTGGAAGAAGGCACTGAGGTCCCATTGTAGCTATTGACAAATGCATACTAGTCCAGAAGGAAGTAAATATATCCAAACTCTCACGCCTTTATCTTCCGCCACGCTCCTACACTCTTCTTTTTCTGTTCCTCGATTAGGACTTCAGGTGTGTGTTTTATTGTCGCACTCGGTCAGGCTGGTTATGGAAAAGGACGAGAGAGACTGAAATATATTGCTGTTTAATGAGAAAACCAGAAAAGCTGTGAGAAACTCAGCTAAAGCTCGCATATTTACCTCTCTTCACTTCTGCAACAGCAATCAGCAATACATTTTTACAGTGAGAGATTACTTTTAAGAAATGTGTTTGCAAAGAGAAGCTTCATGCAGCGAATTTTCTATAACCAAATCAGAGTCACTTCTACTGAAAGGAACACAGCTTTGTCACACAGACCCTGGCAATGTCTCCATTGTCACTGGAATAGGATGTCACCTGTGCTGGTTATCTGATTTAACCCCTGAAGCGCTAAGCGACCTGAAGATCTAGGCTCTGGGGTCATGTCAGGGACATTCCACCCCCACCCTGTGTCTGTGCTGTGGGACCCAGTTTAGGGATTATAATTAAGGATTATTACAGAGAATAAAAAATAAAATATATAGGTAAAGAGCTGAAGGAGTGTATATGTAAAAGTGAATCCAGGCTGAGTGTGTGGCTCACACCTGTAATCCTAGCCTCGGAGCTGAGGGGGAGGATCACTTGAGGTCAGGTTCGAGACCAGCCTGAGCCAAGAGCAAGACCCCGTCTTACTAAAAATAGAATAAATTAGCTGGTCACTAAAAATAGAAAAATTAGCAGGTGTGGTGCACTGCCTGTAGTCCCAGCTACTCGGGGCTGAGGCAGGATTGCTTGAGCCAGGAGTTTGAGGTAGCTTGTGAGCTAGCTGACACCATGCATTCTAGCCCAGGCAACAGAGGAGACTCTGTCTCAAAAAAAAAAAAGTGAATCTAATTCAAAGACACTAGATCTAGACAAATCCGAGAAACAATTAATGCTTTGGATATCATGGATTGTGGATTGAGCTGACATGGAAGCTCCCTCCTTATCTAACATATAGAACTGCTGATAAACATAACTTAAAATATTAGTATAAGCCAAGTCTGGGAGCTTAAAAGGAAATCCAGATTCAGAATGAAGAGGAAACCACTCAACAAATGAATGGATCAAGGGGAATAGGAGGGAGGTGAGCAGGAGCTCATGCTCAGGGGCTCCCAACTGTGACAGGACTTGCCGAGGTCCCAGGGCTTGCAGCAGGAGCCCACCAGATGGGGGGATGAGTCTCCTGCTTGCTCAAGGCTGAGCACTGGAATAGGGCTCTCTGCACAAAGCCAAGCTCTGCAAAGAGCTCAAACCGTGCACCAAACCAGAAACAGAAGCAGTCCAGCTGCTGGCTAGGAAAGAGGCGAGGAAGCCTACATCTACTCCAGGCCATGACAAGGCGACTCACCATCACAATTGTAACTCCAGGTCTCAACAATCAAGAATTCACTACTTTATGGTGAAGAATCCCCACTGAGAAAACCAGTCCACAGTGAAACTTGGAGGCTCCTGATGGCAGCAAACACAAATCCTGATGAAGATGAGCTAATGAAAAAGGTGTAAATCCCTGACGAACAACAGGAAGGAATGTCAGCAAATCCATACCCTGCAGGATCCATAATGCAAGAATAGAGGATGATTTGAAATACTTTAAGATAAAGATACTTAGGGCTTCAAGGCTTCAGATGGCGTCAGTCGTACCAGTGAAGGAGAAGAAACCTCATGGATGTCAAGTAGGGGAGCTGCCAGCTGGATTTTGATGCGGGATTCACCCTAAAGGCATTGTTGGGGCTTTCAAAGGTTACTACCGGTATTAACAGTACATCGATGTAGAAGGGGAGCTTTGCTGGGATTTCTATGATACTGGGAGCTTATGTCTTTTCAACTACTGCCTTTCTTAACAAGGAGCTCAAACATGAGCAGGTGACGCAAGTACCACTGAAGAGGTACCATGTCAGGAGGCATACTCTGCACTCCTGACCTTGACTTCCTTGGCCTGCACCCTCTGTGAGGAACTCCATCATTGGCTGAACCCTTTCACATCCTAGTGACAATTGACTCCAAATAAAAGATGACTGCTGTATGTAAAAAAAGATATTAAACATTAAGGAGAGGAAGGAATAGAACAAAGGCCAAACAGGACGTTATTACAAACAATAAACAAAAGCTCTGAAAAAAAAATACTATGAAAAAACCAAGAGTCTGAAAAGAACAATAAATTAAAGAATGAAAAATGTCACTGAAATTCAAAAATAAAATCTCAATGTATGAATTAATCAGCTGAAGAATAAATAGTAACTGCAAGAATTTCCTACTATTCAGCTAAGAGAAAGAAAGAAAGGGTAGAAATTTAGGAGAAAATTAAGAAGCAGGAAGTTTAGTATGAGAAGCTCCAAACTGACATCTAATAGTGTCAGAAAGAAATGGAGAGGACAGGAGAGAGGAAGCAAGCAAAGAGTACGCTGAGAATTTCAAGAACAAAGATGTACTCTCAGATTAATCAAGCAGACCAAGTTCTGAGCGTGAACAAAAATCCAACCTAGACACATTGGATGCATACAATTTGAATGGAAACCACTGCTACCCTGCTGTCCAGGAGGGACCCAAGGACTCAGCCACGGGCAGAACCACAGCAGGACCCAGCAGAGGACTGCAGGTGGCTGTGCTACTTTCTTTACATTTTGCCTTCCCCTTATCCATCTCTGGCTCCCATGTTGGTTTTCATTTCAGGAAGAACAACTGCAATTCTCTTCTCATGCTGTCAAGGATGGAGTGAAGAGGAAAAGTGAGTGTGTGACACACTGGACCTAAGCTATCTGAGGTCAGAAACGATGTGAGCAGGCAATTAAGTGCAAGTCACTTAGTGAGTGAGTAACAGCTGCCTTATGTAGCTTCTAAACTGAGTTCTAACCTCTAATTCTGGCCTCCCCAAACTGAAGAGTTCCTAACATCCTTCTATTGCCAAACATGCCTGAATTTTCAAGAAAGCATTATCAATTATATATACTCTATAATGACCACCATGAAAAAAATGCTAAGTGTGAGTGACTTCTGGGGCCCCCCTCTCTTGGGGCCCCAGAACCTCGTCCATGAGTCAAAAAAAAAAAAAGAAAAAATGCTAAATGTATGCACCAAGACTAGAAAGATAAACACGAATTTTACAAGTATGTGTTGTGGTAGCAAATTCAAGAATGATGTTTACTTTTATTTTTTTATCAGTGTCACTGGCTTAACATTAGACAATTATTTTACATTATTATTACCAACATTCCATTTATATATTTTGCTGAGATTGGAAGCTCAAAGCATGAGTTCATTTCTGGCTTAAGTCTATGTCCTCCCTCTGGATTCATATATCACAAAAAAGCAGAGAAAAATAAATTAATAGAAATGCAACCAAAGGTGTCACACAATTCTTTTTCAACTAGTTCTCCAATAGAGCAGTCTCTAAGGTTTATAAAACTTGGGCCAGAAAGCTCTACAAGCTTCTATGTATATGGCTTGACCTTTACTTTTTTTCCCCTGAAAAGAAGCAAAAAAGCCAAATGTATAAACACAGACCAGCTGTCTTCTGGCAGAGACAGCACCCACTGCACACAGCCACACCCTGACATGGACACACACCAGCCCAATCCGTTCCTGAGCGCCAGCTGATTTCACTGCTGTGGATTTCCCTGAGGTTCCACTGAGCTCAGCCTCTGATGTAAGAGTGGACAGGAGCCACATCCTAGGGTGGCTGAAAATCTGCCACGTCCTGCAGGAAGTGCCAACACCCACACTAATGCTCTCTACCTTGACCTCCGGTGCAGGGACAGGACCAGAAAGCAAAGTTACCTTGCAGACAGCCGCCTGGAGTACTGCATCAAAGCCCCCCTCGGGGGCGTCGCGGTTCCGGGACACCCTCTGTTTCCGAACTTCCTCGTTGAAGCTGTCGACTCTGTCCGTGAGAGGCAGCAGATGGCGGAACCCAAAGGACGGGACGCAGTTTGGAAATAACTTGTAACTAGAGAGAAAGAAGAAAGAGAAGAGTCACTTTTCCATCATTATGTCTCAATCTTAACCAAGTGTTCTGTGCATTCACTGAGTGCCTTGAGAGGCACCAATAAATGTTTACACAGCACCTACTCTGTGCTCCAGGGAGAACAAAGATAAATAACGTAGTCCCTACTCTTGAAACATCAAGCCCCAAACTGCATGCAGGACGGCACACGCCACGGCGTAAGCGAATGGTATGGACGATGGTTCAGAGCAAGCAGAGATAACAGTAGGCCACTGTGGCTGGAGGAAGACTTGGTGTGGGCCTAGAAAGGCGAGTGGGGCCCGTGGAGTGGGCAAGCCCAGGCAGAGCGGAGGGGAAGGCTCCTCTGGGCTGAGGAAGGTGGACGGTGTCCAGAGAAGGCGATGGAAGCAGAGTTACTCTGTGAAACCAGCTTCTCACGTCAACTCTGCCGCTGCCATGTGACAAAGGATCACATAACCTCTTCCCGTCAAGCACTCACTGACCACCAGAATATGCTGGCACACGAGCGAATGCTAAATGGAACAGGAATGAAAACATTCTTTCTGCCTCTTTACTTATTTATAAATACTTCAATGATAAACTATCAGGTCTCCTAGATGCAACAACAATCATAGAAACTAAGCACCTTCAAATGGAAAGTTATATCTGGAAATTTGGAAAGAAGGAGGTACTGCATGTCAATAGTAGGTTAATACCAAGCCTTTCTCCTAAAATACCGGGTGATCTCCTTTCTAGTCTGTTGTGCAGACCCCAAGTGGCCCCATTCCTGGAGGATGTTAGCTCCCAACTACAGTTCTAGGAGTTTCACCTTGACCTACAGTTAATGAACTAGGAAGAGAGGCCTTACATTGTTTTATAAATGGGTTCACAAGGTAAAGAGGGAGAGGGAAGAGTGTCGTAGCCAGAGAGAAGAGTACGTGCAAGAGTCCTGTGGCAGGAAGAAGCATAGAAGGCCCAAGGACAGAGGTAGCTAGTGGGGCTGCAGTGGGAGTGAGAAGAGGCTGGGCCCCACTGCAGGGCCTATGGCCGTGTTAAGGACACCTCTCTTTTAGAACAAAAGATGAAAACCCAGCACTAACGGAGAGCCCTGGGGGACCAGCTTTATAATCCAATCCAAGCTGTGCACATGGGAAGGGAAACAGGTTTAGCAACTGCTAGGAGGACTCCGTCTGAACTGCTACCACAGAGCATCCTCATCAGGCAGGTCTGGGCAGGCCCCCTTCCCTGCAAAGAGACAAGCTTTGGCTTCTAAGAGCCACTCCATCCCCTTCAGGGCTCCAGTCCCTGCTCCACCCACCACAGGCACAACACGACATGGCACACCGTCCCTCGAAACAGGCCAGCTCTGGACAGAATCAACCCTACTCCCAGGATTATCACGGTTCTCTCTGGACAGGACAGGTGGCTGCAGCTAGAGGCTTTCCCTACTTGTCTTGCTTTGTTTTCCTCCCTTCTCCCTCCAAATCTTCATGAACACCTTTGCTTGGACAAGTCAAACTCTTTTTTAAGCCCATGCCTCTGGCCACCCAAACTTCTCAATACCCGCTCATTTTGTCGTAAAGAGAACAGCCGTGGAAACTACATTCCCAGCTGGAAGAAGGCACTGAGGTCCCATCTGTAGCTATTTGACAAATGCATACTAGTCCCAGAAGGAAGTAAATATATCCAAACTCTCACGCCTCTTATCTTCCGCCACGCTCCTACACTCTTCTGTTTTTCTGTTCCTCGATTTAGGACTTCAGGTGTGTGTTTATTGTCGCACTCGGTCAGGCTGGTTATGGAAAAGGACGAGAGAGACTGAATAATAATTGCTGTTTAATGAGAAAACCAGAAAAGCTGTGAGAAACTCAGCTAAAGCTCCGCATATTTTACCTCTTCCCTTTCACTTCTGCAAACAGCAATCAGCAGATACATTTTTACAGTGGAGAATTACTTTTAAGAAAATGTGTTTGCCAAAGAGAAGCCTTCATTGCAGTGAATTTTCTATAACCAAATCAGAGTCACTTCTTACTGAAAGGAACACAGCTTTGTCACACAGACCCTGGCAATGTCTCCATTGTCACTGGAATAGGATGTCACCTGTGCCTGGTTATCTGACTTAACCCCTGGAAGCGCTAAGCGACCTGAAGATCTAGGTGCTCTGGGGTCTCATGCCAGGGGACTATTCCACCCCCACCCTGTGTCTGTGCTATGGGACCCCTGTTTAGGGGTTATTAAATTAAGGATTATTAACAAGGAAGATAAAAAATAAAATATGTATGGTTAAAGAGCCGAGGGAGTATATGTATAAAAAGTGAATCCAGGCTGAGTGTGGTAGCTCACACCTGTAATCCTAGCACTCCGGGAGGCTGAGGTGGGAGGATCACTTGAGGTCAGGAGTTTGAGACCAGCCTGAGCCAAGAGCAAGACCCCGTCTCTACTAAAAATAGAAATAAATTAGCTGGTCAACTAAAAATAGAAAAAATTAGCCAGGTGTGGTGGCACATGCCTGTAGTCCCAGCTACTCCAGAGGCTGAGGCAGGAGGATTGCTTGAGCCCAGGAGTTTGAGGTTGCTGTGAGCTAGGCTGATGCCACGGCACTCACTCTAGCCTGGGCAGCAAAGCGAGACTGTCTCACAAAAAAAAAAAAGAACTTAAGTCTGACTTGTTCTCTTATCTAGTGACTACTCTGGGGCCTTCTATCCCAAAGCCTCCCTGAAGTTGAATGTGGATAAGGCAAGGAAAAGTTGGAAGTTACCACTCATTGTAGTCACACTGCATAACCTTGACATTTAAAGGAACACTCGAAAGACTAGAAAAGAAAGAAACCAACCCAGTAGAGGTCGTGATAGGGAGACAGAAGGATGTGACCCCCTCACCTTCCCTCCACCACACGCATACAAACACCCCAAGGCAGAGACCTGTTCACTAATCCTGTTTCCTCTGATTCCTGGGCACACAGCTAAGCTGGTTTCCAGCCTCCTTGCTAGAATTCAGTTCTGACTAATAGAACGTGGGAGCAGAAATGGCGAGGCTTATCCTCTGACACATGATCCTCCATGCAGGATGACCTCAGAAGCTATTTGTGGAAGACGGTAAAGCCTGGAAGACAGAAGGATCCTGGGTCCCTTAGTCACTTCCTGGAGGAGAAGTGTCCACTGATCATGAGACCCAGTTGGACTTAGTGAGCAGGAAAGAAACTTCTAGCAAGTTTGAGCCTTTATATACTTTTGCATTATTTTGTTGCAGCAGTTAGAAACACCTGTTCTCTAATAATTTATCGAATATTTTCTGGGTCAGGTACTTGACTTATGTTAAAAAAAATATTCATACCTTTAAAAGAGGATTTTCATTTAGTTTTGTCAAGTTATAGTAATTTACATAAATAATAGGGACAAATTTTGAATTCATTTATTCCAAAGTTACCACAAGCAAGGGTGAAAGTTTAAGTTGTCCTGTCTGTCCCCTCCCTGATCACCCAGATCCATCACTCCCTGAGGACACTGTCTACATTCTATTAATGTCAGAAAATGGTGCTATGTAAAGACGTAGGAAAATAAACAGGTTGTGATCATTATATCTTTATGCAACCTTGTGATAGCTCATTTCTTTACACGCAGGGGAAGGAAAGGCCTTCCCTTCATCATTGATCAAGTTAAACTCCTAAGCCTGGCCATCCCTCCTAAACATGCCTTCCCTAGTTCTTTCTTTGAGCTAAGTTTCCCTCTATTCCATTCTTACACCCGTAAGTCCCCAAGAGAAGCCCAAAGGGTCACTTACCCAATGCATGGATTGGTCTGGTATCTCGGTGCCGTGTAGGAGAAAGGAGAAATGTCCTTGTCCACAAAAGACCCAAACCCCAACCGAAAGTTGCTGGTGAGCTTCCGCATCTCCTCAGCAAGCTTGGTGCCCAGGTTCCGGATGTTGTCCAGGTCATCCTTCATGGACAGGGAGAGGTCCATCAGATAGTACAAGTCCACAGGGTAATCCTCCACCTGGCGAACCTGCAGCTGGAACGCTGTCTTGTCACCTGTGCCAACAGAGAGGCCATGCATGTGAGAGCCCATGCAACTTACTGCGGAATGAAGGGAAGATTTTGCTTTCAAAGCTGGTTCACCTCTCACTTTTCTTAAGTGACTGTGTGCCTCCCAGAAGAAATATTTTGCTTGGAAGTAGAGTGCCTGAGGGGAACACGGGGTGCCGAGGGTAAAGCCCTCACTCCTCCTTCCCAAACACCTGGCTCAGCATTTCTCAGGAAACTCTTTAACAACCAGGCTCTTTAGTGTGGCTCTGTTTTCTCAGCAACAAGGACCCTTGGGTAATTAGCAGACAGTGAGCCGGACAATTCCATGGACACGTGGCGGGTGGAGAATAGCCCACCTACCACACACAGACTCCAGAAAAAGACCCAGCTAAGATGGGAAGGTGTGTGTGGAACAGAAAGCAGGGAAGAAATTAACAAAACAGGAGTATGGGCATGAGGGAGAAAGAACTAGGAGGGGAAGAGAGAGAGAGAGGCATAAGGCAAAGAGGGCAGTTACTTAAAATACCACAAAGGGCAAAAATATTTATGCTTGTGCCAAGTCACCTGTTTTTGTTTCTATTTCCCTAGCCACAAACTTACTATTTAGTTTGATGCTTTGGAACATCAGGTACAACTCATTATCATCAGAAAGTATATATATAAATACAGGAAAATGAATTCCAAATTTTAACTCAAAAAAAAAAAAAAAGAACAAAAGAAAAGAAAGAAAAAAGAAAAAACACTGCTGGATTTGTCTACCAGCTACAAGAAAGAGAAAATGGTTTTTGGTTCTATAGTGAGGTAGCCAACAGACAGAGGACAACAGAATTGATTCAAAGGAGGAAAACAAAGAGAAAAGCCAACATCTGGGAGGTGTGGCCTTTGCTATCTCCCCAAGTCAGGGCAGTAACTGGAGGACCCACACCAGGATAATGATCCCTAAATAATTTCATAATTTCTAAAACAAGTCACTCAGAACCAACTTCAAGGCTCAAGTCATACCAGGTAATTCTAGCTCCCTTGGGCTCATTAGCCTTTCAGGAGCACCAAAAGATGTCCTATTTATCCTGGAGCAGAACTGTTATTTGTAATCTGGATGTATTCTTTATGTGTTTAGAGGTACAACAGCAAAGGCAGCCTCTCTCTTGTCCAAGGGGACCACACATGACATGCTAACAGCCACATCTTAGAGCAACCAATCTTTCACTTCAAGCCGACAACCAGCAAACTGAAGCCCTCTTGAACCTGCAGGGTAGAAGACTCAATCTTTTATGCTCCCTTTCTGTCTCCCACCCCAAATAAAGCATATGTCACTAACCAGACCATGAAGAATCAAATGATCAAAAGATTTTGTTCAAGTTCCAGCTCTGTCCCTGAACTAGGGGTGCAACCTGAGCCTCAATATATTCTCTGAGCCTATATATTCCCCAAATATAAAATGGAAATAACAATGCTCACAGCCGTGGTTAAGGCTGTGATGCACTCATGAGGGAGAGAAGTGTTCTACAAGCAGTAGAGTCTTGCACAAATGAATACGATTATTATAATTACTATTTGTAGCCAGAGTGGCAGCTCCGAGCCTGCTTTCCCTGACTTGCCTTTGCATGTACTGTTCTGGCCGCCTCAGGATTGATATAGTTTTGGTCGCCTGCTGGTATGAGCCTATTTTTAAAACCACCGGAGTCTGACTCAAACAGAGGAATGTTCGAGATTTCTTCCAGAATGAATTCCAGGCTGCTGCAGTGTCTGTCTCTGGCTCCCATCAGGCCAACAGAGCAGGTCCCTCCAAAGGGCCTTTGGATACCACAACATAGTGGGAGAGGGGCAGAGAGGAGGGAGGAGTAGGGGGAAGGGAGACCCCTCCTTGGCCCTTGCCTGGGCTGACAACAGACCCCAAATGGACAGAACCTGCCATTGTATCTTCTCTGCCTGATGCCTGACCTCTTTTCAGGGTCTTCTACATTTTCTGCCACCTGTCAACCTTCCCCCAAGTTCCCAGCTACACCTTCTTTTATCCATAATCCACTTTCTACCTTTCTAAGAGTTATGTGTAATTAACAGATGGGCATTTTAAAACCAGGAAACAGAGAACTGGCTTGGATTCCAGGAGGCTGGGAGGTACCATGGGACAGGAGCTGGCACCAGGCTTGGAAGTGGGGGAGGGTTCCAATCCAGACCTGTCACCAGGGATTCGGGAGGCCTCAGGCTCCTCTCAACTTGCTGCTCAGTTTCTGCATCAGTAAAGGGGAGAGGCTATCAATTATGGTGGGGAGTAAAGGAGATAATGTACATAAACACCACAAATGTTCCTCCACAAGGAAAACTGTGGCCTCAGTTCTCCCAAAAGTCAAATTATTAAAGTAATAATTAAAAGTCAAAAGTCAATTATTAAAGTAATTTCCTGTGGGGATAAAAAGAGAGATAGAACATTCTGCCAGAAACTTGAGTTTGAATGGCTACAACCATGGGCATATAAATTTAACACCAAGTTTTCCAGCTATGAAGGCAAAGAGGGAAATAAGGTATAATACACAGGTCCCTTTGTATGGTAAGAGGGTATCTATTCTGAAGTGAGAAATCTCGTGGCATTAAATTCTAAAACAAATTGACCAGTAAGAGAATACACACACACACACACACACACACACACACACACACACACACCCTCTTCCAAAGGAGGGCTGCAAATGTTAAAAAGAAATATTCCTCACATTTTTCCAGAAAAGGAGGAATGTAAGAAAGAGGGTAATATTAATGCTCAGAAAAAGTGGGTTTTGCCACCTCTAATATGCTTGATTTTAAATGCTACAAACTCCTGAATGGGCCTTGGCAATATGGACTGTTCTGTCAGCCGATTTTGGAGGGAGTGACATTCCTGTTAGGATTCTTGGTGTGGGTGTTAAGCTGTCGGCACCAACTCCCCAACAGCAGACGTGAAGTGCGTTGTCTGCAGAGAGAAGGTCTGGGGCAGGGCTCCTACCTCTGGGTGCGCTTCCAGAACCACGCGTGCTCAGACACCGTCCTTCCTCCCCACTCTCTCAGCCACGCTGCTCTCATGCACCGCCTGAGGCTTTAAGCCAGTCGCCACCTGCCATGTGCCTGGCACAGTGCGCAGCCCTTCTCCCCTTTGCTGTCAGGGCTGGGTCTGTGCCTGTCTATGGTGACTCACTGTCCCCTGTGCCCTCCCTCTCTCCACACAGGATCCCTACAGGCTGCACCCCTTCCCTCTGGGGCAGTTCCACATAATCCTTGTTCCAGACCAGTGGCAGGATCAGAGAAACAGGATAATGCAAACTCAAAAGAGAGGCTGATCACCTGGCACCTGTGAGGATGTTGCTACTCCCCACCCCCATGTCCTTCTGGTTTTTCCTGTTTCCAAAGCACCAGCTCCAACTGCATTCTGCACAGAATTCCTGGCCCTGCTCTGTTCCTAAGTGCAGGTTCTCCCACTGTAATCATGTAGCAACTAGCATTCCATCCAAAATGTATTTTTCAAGCTTTCTTCTCTCTGTCCTCCCTTTAATAAAAAGTGAAAAGTTAGCTTTTTCCTTCGGGACATACATCAGATGACAACTATTTCTAGAGATTGAGTAGAGAATTCTAGCAAAACTTTTAAAGACTGATTTTTGTTCAAGTGCTAAGACAAAGTAGCACCTCCGCTGATAGAGACTCTTGCCATCCCATATACATGTGAATGGTTTTTGATTCCCTAGAAGTACGCTTCTCTACTAGAAATTGAAAGAAAGAGGGCAAACATACAAATTTACTATCACAGCAATATAACTGAACAGGAATGTAGGGCCCTAGTGCTCGCCTTGTAAATGAACATACGGCTCTTCTGTTCACTACAGCAGAGGTAACTAGTGCCCCAGGATGAAATCCAGATCTAGAACCAAAGAATTGCCTCACTGTTCTAGCACAAGGCTGTCAGGCTCCACTGCACCCCGTTCCCCCCCTCAGAATTCGGACTCTTAACAGATGGAACCAAAAAACAAGTCATCTGAAGACATGGTTAGCCTCCATGGTATCTGTCTCCAAGCATTAGGGCCCTACATTTCTAGTTTCCTTTAAAATAATCCCTTATCCACTCATCATCAAAAGTCTTTCTTCGTCTATTTAAGAATGTACAATGTCAGTCGGGGTGGCAACTTTATTGCAGAAGCAATACCTAAAGTGGCACCTCCAAAGTAGCACCTGAAAGGAGAGGGGAGGAAAAAGCATAAATAGAGGCTGGCAGGAAACCCCAAAGCGACCAATCTCCTGTAGTTTATTTATTTTATAACTCTTTTTTTTTTTTTTTGAGACAGAGTCTCACTTTGTTGCCCAGGCTACAGTGAGTGCCGTGGCGTCAGCCTAGCTCACAGCAACCTCAAACTCCTGGGCTCAAGCAATCCTTCTGCCTCAGCCTCCCGAGTAGCTGGGACTACAGGCATGCACCACCATGCCTGGCTAATTTTTTCTATATATATTAGTTGGCCAATTAATTTCTTTCTATTTATAGTAGAGACGGGGTCCCACTCAGGTTGGTTTTGAACTCCCGACCTTGAGCAATCCTCCCGCCTCGGCCTCCCAGAGTGCTAGGATTACAGGCATGAGCCACCGTGCCCGGCCTCTCCTGTAGTTTAGATAACAGTTTTATATCAATGTCAATGTCCTGGTTTTAACAACCTTTTGTGGTTACATAAGATGTTATCACTGCAGACAACTGAGAAGGGTACATAGGACATCTCTGTGTTATGTTTCCAACTTCTTGTGAGTCTAAAATTATTTCTAAAATAAAATTTTAAAACAAACAAACAAAAGAGAGCTATCAATCAAGGGCCATGTTTTAAGAGGTTAAGGGATTCAGGCAAATGACTTCAATAAGCCCTTTCTAATTGCCTCAGTATTTCAAAACTACCTCCAGCTTCTGACCATTCTCTGTAAGCTTTACTTGAAAGTATAAGTCCTTTCTTAAGAATTTTCTAAGGTTCTTATCCTGATATATAATGTTTTCAGTATTGAAATAAAATGGAAAACATGATCCTGTGTTTATACAAAATCCTGCTTCAAGTTTGGCAGTTCTTCAAAAAGTTAAACATAGAATTACCATATGACCCAGCAATTCCACTCCAAGCTATAGACCCAAGATGATTGAAAACACATGTTCCCACACAGCTTGTACATGGATGTTCGCTGCAGCATTAGTCATAATTGCCTCAATGTGGAAACCGCCCAAATGGCCATCAGCTAAGAGTGGCATATCTATATACACACAACGGAATATTACTTGGCCATAAAAAGGAATGAAGTACATATTACAACATGGATGAACCTTGAAAACATTTTGCTAAGTGACAGAAACCAGACATAAATGGCCACATATTATATGACTTACAGGAAATGTCCAGAACAGGCCAAACCACAGAGATAGAAAGTAGACTAGTGGTTGCTAGAGGCTGAATGGAGAGTGGGTGAGGCAGGATAAAGAGTAACTGTTAATAATGGGTACGGAATCTCTTTTTGGGGTGATGAAAATGTTCTGGAATTAGATAGTGGTGATAGTTGTACAACCTTGCAAATACACTAAGAACCACTGAACTGTATACTTCAAAATGGGGAATTGTATGGTAAGTGAAATATATCTCAATTTAAAAGAAGGAAAACAGAACTAAAAATCCTGCTTAAAGGGAAATTTGCTTTCCTTTTTCTCCCCCAGAGCTATCCTGGAACAACAACTTTGCCTTCGTGGTTGCTGAGGCTTGTCCTTGACCAGTCTGGTGTAAGGCTGGCGAAGGGTTATATTTCACTCAACAAATATTTATTATGAGGTACTGGGGAGGCGAGGAGGGAGGAGACACAAAAGCATATCTAAAAAGATATAATGGAAAAATCCATCCCAACATACTGGAAAGCCCTCCCCAGAGTCAGGGAGGAATTTCCTTGAGGTAAGTATGCATTTACTAAACTGAAAATTTTGCTAACTGCAACATGCCATTCTCCCCTTCCCCCAAATCAATATCTGGGGTTTGGCTGTACTTCTCTTTTTAAATATTAAAATCATATTTTCAAAATTTTACAAGGCATCATTGGTTTCAAGTGTTTCTATATTTGAAAAACATATTCACAATGGCTTTAGACCCTTAAGGATTCAAATTTTCATCAAATCTCCTGGTCTTCACCTCCACAGACTGAAACATCCTCATGGTGTGGGTGTATTTTCATGGGGTAGCTCTTTTGTCACCTCGATGCCCCCAACACTGGGCTCCCCGTTCCTACACCTCCCTCAAGACAGAGCTGCACACAGCACCCGTAGGTTTTGTATAAACATGGGATCATGTTTTCCATTTTATTTCTAATAACCAGAAACTATCATAACATTTAGCAGGAGATATGACTATGCCAACCAAATAAGACTGATTTTTTTTAATTGACCATACATTGAGTTTTACACATAAATAATACATATTGTGCATAAACCTATCATTACTAAAATTACTCTGTAACTCCTCTATGGGGGCTATTTTAAAAGCCAGTTAGTAAGTCAAACCAAACAGTCTATCGGCTCATATGCAGACCTTAATTCTGATTTGAAAAACTGGAATTATTAAAACTATGCCCTCTTTGGCTTTGTGAGATTCCTAAATTAAATCTGCCCTAAAGAATAAAGGATTTGTCACCGTTTCTTGGAGAGAACAGCACAGGCCTTGAGAGCTATTCTAGATGAGGAGGCCAAAAAATACAAGTTAAAAACCTCCCTCAACGATGACTCTGAAACTACACACTGTTTTGGAAGTGTGAATTTTTGTCCTTGTTTCCAAAGATTGTTGATTGAAAACAGCATACGGGTACAAATACATTATGATTATAAGCATATGAAAAATATGAACATGTGAATAAAGACAGAGGATCAGTAAAAATGAAAAATAATATTGTATTTAAAGTGGATGATTTTTCAAGAATTTCCTTTAAGTTATTGTTATATTGTTGTTATCACAGTAAGAAGGAAGATACAGCAGTCATATTAGCTGATAATGTTCTTATATTATACAGTGTTCCAGAATATTAATAGTCCATAACAACTCCTACACCCACTTTTAGGACACAACCCTTGACCTGGAGCCAGTCTTCATGTAAGACAATTTATTTTTCCCCAGAGAACATCGCCAAACATCTGCCCACATAAAGGCTCAGCTGCCTTTCCCTCCTCACCCACACAGTTTTGTAAGGGTTCCCTTCCTTTTCTCTCTCAACTTGGCATCTCACCAAACAAAACGGCTGTGTGTCACTCACAGTGATTAAGTTTGCAAAACTCCTAACTTCAACTAATCTCAGCACTGACCCCTCGGTGGGCACTCCAGTAGCTTGGGCTTCTCTGTCCAGCAGGGCCTCCTTACAGCCTTCCTTTGCCTCTCATTTTTGAGATGATTAAAATAGACAAAATAAAAACATTTTTCAAATATAAGACTCAGAGCTCTTCCTCCAAAAACCCATGGTGCAGACCATTCAGCAGTAATAATAATAAGGAGCCACGTTGAGTGCTCCATAGGTAGCACTGTGCTAAACCCATGTCTGAGCCACTGAGCGCCCTTCCTCAAACCTCTGCCTGGCACCCTTGGCCATTACTTTTTAAAGTTCATTTATACAAAAAGTCTCCTGTAATCTTCTGAACCTGCCTGTGAGAAATAAATGCGACAAAGATGCTGAGCTGCTGAGATGGAGTAACCTGCCCAGGCCTGAGCTACGGACAGAGCCAGGACCAGAACCCGGAAGAGCCAACCGGATCCGTGATCTTTCCCCTGCTACAAGCTACCCTGAAGTCTCATGAAACCATCTACAAATAGTTATTGCCAATGGTTTCCTAGACAACAAGATAGAACAAACGGCTAAAAATCAACAGAATTTGGAAAAATCTGCCCCCTCCCCACAATGTGATACTTTCCAATGTAGCCACATGCACATCCACCCTTTGACATTGCAAGGATTCTACCATGTAGAATATTATACGACAAAGTCAAAGAATTTGCCAATGGGAAAAATGCTTTTTCCTAAAAGTAGCACTTTTCCTGAGCAACTTGCATTAACTAGGAAATAAATCTACCAGCATCCTCCTATAAGAAACAATACTATTATTTACAATAGCCAAAAGTCGGAAACAACCCAAATGTTCACTGGATAAACAAAATGTGGAAGCCATGCACGATGGCTCACACCTGTAATCCTAGCACTTTGAGAGGCAAAGGCGGGAGGATCACCTGAGGCCAGGAGTTCAAGACAAGCCTGAGCAACATAGTGAGACCTCATCTCTACAAAAATGTAAAAAATAGCCGAGCATGGTGATGTGTGCCGGTAGTCCCAGCTACTGGGGAGGCTGAGGCAGAAGGATCGCCTGAGTCTAGGAGTTCGAAGTTGCAGTGAGCTATGATGATGCCACTGTACTCTAGCCCAGGCAACAGAATAAGACATTGTTTCAAAAAAAATAATAAAATAAAAATAAAACAAAATGTGGTATGTACAATACAATGAAATATTCAGTCTAAAAAGGAATGAAATTCTGACACATGCTTAAAGTATGAATGAACCTTGAAAACATTATGCTAAGTGAAATAAGTCAAATATCAAAGGACAAATATTGAGTGATTCCACTTGCAGTAGGTACCTAACCACATTCATGGAGTCAGAAAGTAGAATAAAGATGATCAGGGGCTGAGGATAAGGTGGAATGAGGAGTTATTGCTTAATGAGTATAGATTTTCTGTTTGGGATGATGAAAAAGTTCTGAAAATAGATAGTGGAGATGCCTAACATTGTAAATGATGGCTAACATGGTAAATGTTATATTATGTATATTTTACCACAATTTTAAAAAATAGCAAAAATGTCCCCTTCACCCCAGGCCGGGGGCCCTGTGGTCTGCTTCCCGAGATCTGAGCCCCACCACATGGTTGCCCTCTCCTGCCTCTGACCTCAGCCTGGCCTGGCTCATTTTCCCATTGGTGACACGCCCCAACCTGACCACGGCCTTTCCTGAGCCCTCGCATCCAGCTTTTCCTAGGGGCAACTCACCGGGCCGCAGGTTCACGGCGATGTCCTGCGGCGTCATCTGAATGACGTCCGCGCCCGCGGAGCTGGAGCCCTTGCTGCTGAGAGGCAGGCTGCGCAGGACGCGCGTGCTGCTGGCCGGGCTCTCGATCTCGCCTCCACAGCCATTTCTGACCAGGTTTGCCCTCAAGTCACAGCGAGAGGTGACAGAGCGGGGGCTGCCGAAGTCCTAGGCAGGGAAACAAAGGAAGAGAGCAGGAGGCGGTCAGGGAGTCTCCCCAGAACATCGCAGGTGGCGGGCACGTCACTACCTGGTTGACTTCAACTCTCTACCTTCCATTTTCATTGCCTGAAAGTAAAGGGTAGGGATGAAATGAGCATCCCTGCCCTGAATGCCTCACCAAGCATTATTAGGATCGACTGGACATGAAAGCATTTTGTAAACTGTAAACACATAATAAAAATGTTTGGTTTCATTCTTATTTTGATGGTCAAAATACTCCCAACTGCCTACATGATTAGCAAGAGAAAGAAACTGAAACAGTCAAAAGTTGTATAGCTAAAAATTTTTTAAAAGATGATAGTGGCTGAGAAATCCTCACTCGGGCATTCAGGAGTTAACTCTTGAGCTGTTCATTCGTCATCTTTTGCAGGCCTTGGATTCAGCACAACCGTCAGGAGAACAATGCGGCAGTATAGTCTGAGCCACTGACCCAGTGGCCTACTGCTAGAGCTCTATTACAAAAAAGAAAAAAGGAAAAACTCTATAAGAGTTTTTTGGAAACTTTTTTCCTATTGGAAAAAAGGAAAAACTCTATAAGATATATATTACAGTATTATTTATCATGTAATTTTATATACTTGTAAACCTAAATGCTTAAACCATAAGAAAAATACGGTACATGGCTTCAATAGACGATACAGTCATTACAAACAATTACAGAGATTAAGCAGAAATTTCAGAACACTTATATTAAGAAAAAAAAAAACCCAGAAAATTGAATTGTATCTGTAGTAGGATTCAAAAGAAAAATAAAAAGTGAGGTGTCACAGTAGAGGGACTAAAATACTTTTGGTTTTGTACCATAAAAACACATTGATAAGAAAAATCTTTATTTTCTTAAATTGGATTTGGGAGAAAGCTGAACCTCAGAGTGACCCGATCCAATTTGGGGCACCAGGAGGCTGAGGTATTAATTTAAAAATAAAGCAACATATTTTGTTATAAATATGGAGCCTCTAAGTGGTGGTCATTTCCAGCAAAGGGGTTTTTAATGGCAAAGCAAGCCCAGGCTGCTCTTCTGAGTGAGTGCCCGCTCACCAGTGGATGTGGACAAGAAGATCACCTCCTCCCGCTGGTCGGACGCCAGCGCCGAACTGTATAATCCCTGTAATGGCTGGAGGATTAGGGCGCTGATCTCTTCCTCTCCCCTCTGTGACACTTTGCCAGATAGATGAGTCAGTGTCCCTTGACCACTGTGACAGAAGCCAGACTGCTCGCAGAGGTACAAAAATCAGAGGGACTAACCCTTCACCAAGGTCTCAGATGTCCCAGGACTGGTCAATACCCTTTATTAGAATCTTTGCAAAATTCAAGACCAAGAAGTCAAGAACACTTGGCAGTATCCAGGGAGATTGTCCTGGGCCTATCTGATAGTTTTTTTATTTGTTTTCTGGTTTTATTTATTTATTTAAATAATGGAATAATGTTTTTATTTTGTGCACCGAACCCCTGGGGATCTTGCCTGTCAACAACTTTGGAGACTACATCGTGAGTATAAGTGGTGGCATAAACACTCGTTATGGAACAAGATTAGAAAAATGATTATTCTGGTCTTAGATTTCAAAGCTAAGGTTTCCAAATGGGGTTCCAGGTGGCCAAGTTTGGTTCTGATATAGCAGTTCTAACGAAGAGTGAGAAAAGCACAGGAATGGGGTAAAGAGAGGTTCTGAGGGCCCCGAAAGTATTGGTCTGCTATCTTGAGCTGTCTGAAGTAGAGATCTAATTAGCCTAAAGGGCTCGAGGCCTCACCTGCTCAGAGCTTACTCAGTAGGGAATTTCCCAATTTCTTGCTGACAAACTGGCCCAGCTCCTTCTGAGGAGCCCTTGGAGGAAAGGAAGACTCATGATTAAGAAAATCCTCCTCACATGAATGTCATCGTGATGCCTGATGTTCTAAGAGCTTCAGATCCCAGAGACCCAACACCTGGACCCTCCACCAGGTGTCAGAACTTAGCATGTTCCAAGGGGAAGGACCCCTGAATGCATCACCTGGTGCCAGCCCCTAGCGTGTACAGCTGAGGAATCACAGGTCCACACGTCTACGTGCACGCCTGTGTTCACCCAAGAAGTTTGAGTTCATCTGGGCTCAGCCTCCTGGGCCCAAGTTCAGCATCTTTGCAGCATCTGCCTCTCCTCTCAGCCAAGGCCACTGCTGAGTTCTGCAGCAAGACACTAAGTCTGGGCCTACAGATCCCATTCCCTCTGAATGCAGTATTTCTTTGCCATCCCAAATGCAGTGATCTTCCTGCCACCTATCAAACTCGAGGGATAAATATCCTCTTCACGCGGAGAAACAGGTATAGAGGGGCCCCAAGCCCCATGGAAGAGAGGGGGGACTTCATCGCAACACAGAAAAATGGAAACTAGCTTCCGGATGGGGTTCTAATGGGCCACAGCACAACTGCCTGCAGATGCCCCTGGACTTCTGTGCTGAAAGAGGTTTCAGAACACAAAGCATCTCTGTGGTCTCCAGAAATGTCATCATCAAACTCTCCAAAGGACTCATCTGGGGTAACAACATTCCTGGCAAACTACTAAGAGAAGCAAAAGAATGGAAACAGGAACTTGAAGCGTCCTCTGCAGCTTTCAGTAACTAAGTGGTAATAATATAAAAATGAAAAGGGGAAAGTTCCTATTCTATTTTAATTTTTTTGAGACAGGATCTCACTCTGTCACCCTGGCTAGAATGCAGTGGCAAATCATGCAGTTTGAGTTTGTAACCTCAAACTCCTGGGCTCAAGTGATCCTCCTGCCTCACCCTCCTGAGTACTTGGGACTATAGGTGTGGAACACCACACCTGGCTAATTTTTCTAATTTTTGTAGAGATGGGGGTCTCCCTCTTGCTCAGGTTGGTCTTGAACTCCTGGCCTCAAGCAATATTCCCACCTCGGCCTCCCAGAGTGCTGGGATTACAGGCGTGAGCCACCACACCTGGCCGGATAGTTTCAGTTTGTTACAGCACTGGTGTTTATAACTTGTCATATGCCACCTGCTCTACTCCCTCCTTCACCTGCGGTGTGGAGGATGCAGGGAGGTTTGCTGTTTGCTGTAATTCTAGCAGCCAACTCCCGGGACGTTTTGCTAGTGAAAACCTCCCTCCGTGCAGTGGAGGCTGGTGCTCAGCAGGCGCTCAGCTGTCCAGCATCACGGCCAGTGCATTCAGTCCCCCATCTGTGCCACACGGGTCATGACATCATTTGAATACCACTCCGCCTACAGTTGCCGCAGCTAAAAAGATGTGGGTGGTAGTTTTGGGGAGAAGGACAGATTTTTTGTTTGTTTCTGAAACAGGGTGGAAGAGTTGAGAAACTGTAGGCCCTTGAAGAAGAGGAACCCAGCAGGAAAGGAGGCAGCCAGGCCCAGTGAAGAGGGAAGAAACCAGCTGGAGGACAGGCGGAGAGCCCAGGTGGAGAAGTGGGCACAGGTGGAGAGCCGGCTGCTCTCGGAGGCTCGCCTTTCTCACGGGGATGCGGCCAGCCAGGCCCTCCGACCACCCAGGGCTGCAGCCCCAGCCTGGCCGAACCCTTGTGGCTTTGAGGAGAAGGTGACTAACGATAACCCAAAATTTGTGTAGTGTGACAGCAACACACTGCCATGTATACCCTGCTGGGGGATGGAGAAAGTCCTCTGCCAGTTTTCAATCATCTAATTCATTGAACAAATATTTATGAAGCAGCTACAACAGGCCAAGAGTATTCCTTTCATTTGGTCTGACCACATAGAGAGGTTCTCTTATCTATAGTTTATTGTCATTGGGACCAAATGCTGACTTTTTTCATTTCTTCTCCAACTCAGAGGAAAATAAAGATAATGTCTTCTCTGCCTTCCCAGCCATGATAACGTGCCCAGAAGGCTAGTCGGCCCATCCTGCTTCCAGCTTCTCATCGCCCATTTCCAACCCTGCGGGTCCCTTCATTTCTTCTCCGCATCCATCTCCAAGGGGGAAGACCTAAGACCACACACCCAGCCCAGGCCTCACCTGTGTTCTCTCACACCTGACCCTGCCCCACTGCCACTCATCCACATACCATGGGCCAGTGGTTCTTCTCCCCATGGGATTTCAGCTTCACAGTGGGGGCCTTGCCTAACCGCTCCTCTCCTTCCAGGCTTCACTGCAGCCTGGTGCTGCCCCACCACAGTACCTCAGGGAGTCTCACTTTCACACCGGAACAACCTTCCTCCCAGCTTCCTCCAGCCCCTCCTCCCCACTTCCTCCAGCCCTGAGGGCACCCTCTCCATCTGCCTCAGCCTGCTCTCTCACTTCCCCAATAGGGAACACCAACCTCTCAGCCCTACCCACTTCTCCCAAACCACTGTCCTCTTGCAAGCCACCCTGGCACAGGCCGCCAGTCCACCAACCCATCGTCCTTTTCTTCCTTCGCACACAGCTGGAGCAAGCCTCCCAGTTCTCACTGCAGTTAGGTGTAGCAATTGACTGGGTTTGATTGATTGATTGATTGATTGATTGAGACAGGGTTTCACTTTGTTGCCCAGGCTAGAGTGAGTGCCGTGGCGTCAGCCTGGCTCACAGCAACCTCAAACTCCAGGGTTCAAGCAATCCTACTGCCTCAGCCTCCCAAGTAGCTGGGACTACAGGCATGGACCACCATGCTTGGCTTATTTTTTCTATATATATTAGTTGGCCAATTAATTTCTTTCTATTTATAGTAGAGACGGGTCTCGCTCTTGCTTAGGCTGGTTTTGAACTCCTGACCTCGAGCAACCCGCATGTCTCCGCCTCCCAGAGTGCTAGAATTACAGGCGTGAGCCACCACTCCTGCCTGGCCTGACTGGGTTTTAGATTACAAAATGCAAGTGGCAAGAATGTGAGCTACCCCCAGGCCTTGCCTGCAAGGTGCACCCACACTCTCCCCTGCACACACTCTCCCTTGCACACACTCTCCCCTGCACAATTCTCCTCACAGCTGGCTGAGTTCTGAAATTTATAATCTTAGGGGAGAAACAAAATTTCCATTTTAAAAGCAGTGGGCAAAATAGATAACAAACTGCTGGAGTTTGTTGTTTTAAGGTATGCTGTACAAACAACACCAAAAATGTTCAAGCTGGCTGAGAAGCAAGCTGGCTAGATAGAGCAAGGTGTGCCTTAGGATCAGGCAGGGGAGTCTGGAGAGGGGAGGACATACTGTACTCAGAGCAGGGGAGAGTCTGGCCACTCTGGACATGAAGGCAGAGGGTAAGTCTGCAGCCCCCAGGCAAATCCCAGTTAGAAAACAAAGGCACAAGGGCCAGGGTTAATAGGCCACACAGAAGATCAGGTGGAGGGAACCAGCATGGCATGCATGTGCTGATACCTGTGGGAGAACAGAGCCAGGAGGGGTGGAATTAGGTAGGGTACATGGGGTGTCAAATGCAGAGGTAAGGAGTCCCCTGTGACTACCTCAAGTAAAATAAGGAAGTCATTATGGGATCTAGAGCAGCAGAATTCCCAGAGAATGTGTTCTGGGATTAATCCATGGTGGTGTGCACTAAAATAAAATCTTAGGGCATCCCCCCACCACCAAATGAATGGACCCCCTTCTCGGCCACCCTAAAACTAAGTTGCTGGCCATGAGAAGGGAGGTCAGACATGCCTCACCATGCCCCCTTCCCTTCTTGGAGAGATCTTTTGTAACTCATTAGCAGGCCTAAGGCTATGCAAGAGAAGTCTGCAGGTCCTCAATTTACACAACAAATATATAGCTTGTCTCTGATTAACTTAAAACATCCAAGCCTTTAGACAAAGCTTCATTTCTTTGACCAATTACAAGTCAAAGAGTCTTTAAATCCACCTATAACCTGTAAGCCTCCGCCCCCCCAACCCCTTAGAGATGGCCCACCTTTTTAGGCCAAACCAATATATGCCTTCCATGTATTGATTTATGACTTTACCTGTAACCCGTCTCCCTGAAATGTATAAAACCAAACTGTAAGCCAGCCACAGCCAGTCCACTTGCTCAAGGCTTCTTACGCATGGCTCCGGGCCATGGTCCTCAAAGTTGGCTCAGAATAAACCTCTTTAAATTATTTTACAAAGTTTGGCTTCTTTTCCGTTGACAGTGGTATGCAGAGACAAGGCAGGCGGTGGAGCAGAGTGCAGAGGACCTGAACATCGACTGGGCACCAGCCTCAGCATACCCACACATCTCACACTCTTGCCAATACCTCACCTCCATGGTTGATCAAAACCATTCTTGAACTTTCTGCACCCAGCTCCCTAAAACACGCTCGCGCCTGGAGAAAGTTCACCTCAAAGAAAATGGGGAGCTGCATTCCAGTGCAGGGATCAGAAGAAGTTCTGCAGCCCAGAATGAGGGGCCATATAAGCACAGAGGGAGTCCAGTGGGCTACACAGGGAACCCAGGTGTGGGTCGGGCAACAATATGCCCCCAGGATAACTTCATTTACTACCTACATCCAGAAGTGAGACATGGGGAAGTACTAATAAGACAGGGTCTTATGTTTATTTTTCCTCAAGAAGACACCCTAGGGCTTATTTTCAGGGGATGTGTTCTTTTCCCCTCAAAGCCTCAGCCTGCAGCACGCACAGGATGGCCAGGACCTGACAAGGAGAGCTGACCTTGTTGGTGGGGCTGCCCGAACCTTTCTGGTCACCTCTGGGATAGTAGCTGTCACGATGGGATAGATGAGAAGGGCTGCTCGTCTTCTTTACTGCTCGGTGACCAAATGCATGGGTTGTGCAGATACACTGCATAGCCATGCCCATCACTAGGTCTTATTTTCGGGGTAGGGCTTATATTGCACAAACGCTTACAAATCCTGCTAGGGCTTATTTTATGGGTAGGTCTTATTTTTGGGGAAACACAGTAGCACAAGAAATGAAGAAACTTAAGTAGACAATGGAGCCTGCCTCCCAGATCCACTGCCCACATTTCACTACAAAATACCCATGAATGGCAGCAGCAGTTTGCTGGATACTCATTCAGTCCTTCAGGAGGCTCAGCTAATTAGCCAACCTCAAGCCCTCTCAAGCCCTGATCTCATTTCACACTCCCAATAACGCTGGAGGGTGGGGATTGTCATCTTCATTCTACACACCAAGAAAGTAAGAGTAAACCACGGCAAAGCTGAGATTTAAACTTTGGCTTTCTAACTCCGTGTCTTTTTAAATTGTCAAATATGAACTCCCGGCTGATTCTTGGCTGGATATTGAGAATGCCAGCATGAATAAGATAGTTTAATTTCTCAATTTCTTGATGATTTTGAAATGAAAATGAATTAACATAGAAAGGTTATAAGTGCTAAGAAGGAGCACAGAGTATAGGGAGATGGAGAGGTATTCATAGCCTGCACATAGAAGACACACAATGAATAGCCACCCAGTGAAATCCTTCGACCAATACTTACTGAGCAGCTACTATATGCGAGGTACCATTCTGGGTGCCAGGGTTACAGTAATGAAGAAAACAGAAAAGACTCCTGCCCCTAACATTCTGGTGGAGGGAGCTTATATTCTCATATCAATGCATGGACAGATGAATGGGAAGACAGATGGATAGAGGGAGGGAGGGATGGATGGGGCATTGGATGGACAGGTGTGTCTGACAGGAATCCAGGAAGGTCTTCATAAAATAGATGAGGTTGAACTGATTCTTAAAAACTGGAAGACAAGGTGTTGGTCAAGGGAAGGAGGAAAAAGCCAGGCAGGCCTCCAGGGAAAAGGAGCAGGAGAAATCTTGAGGGTGTTCATCAGGCAGGGCTCTCTAGGGATCTTTGAGGGGTTCCCTCTGGCTAAAGTACTGGAATTGGGCAAGAGATGACTGTGAGAAGGAAGGTAGGAGCCATAGAACTTGTATGTCCAGCAGGTCATAAGGAACCAAAGAAAGGTTTTAAATAAAGGTTCATAATAAAGACACTGTTAGAGGCAAGGACCCTTAAAGACCCTCAACTCCCCTATGACTCATCCTATGCATGGACTTCGCCCTGGAAAATTCCAGCTATAGCTCCGAGAAGAATGCATTCCATGACATGCTGACCACGGGATGCTCCAGGGAGTGCTGGCTGCAATTGTTCCCGACCATCTGCCAGGTTGGAGATGAGTAACCAGTCAAAAACAGGATACCGATAAGACGCTGATTGGGGCTGATTAACCCAGACCCAAGCCTCATCGTCCCCCCACTCTATTTTTTTGTTTCTACTTCCTTGTTTCTGTATGCTTATAAAACCTACTAAGAATCTAAGTAAAGCAGACCTTGACAACCATTTGCTTGGTCTCGTTTCTTTCTCTCACCCATCTTTCAGGCACGGTCCCCCTCGCCCCCGCGAGTAACAGAAGGTCCCCCGGGCCGGGACAAAGACACTACAATTAAGCACAGACACAATTAAGGGTTTATACCTTGGGGAAATTCCTCTCTCAAAGTCACTTGTTTAGTGATCTTACTCCTTACTGTCAAAAGTTCTAGAGAGGCAGTATAGTATAGAGGGAAGACCTTGGGCCCAGAAGTCCAGGCAGCCAGATTCAATCCCCAGCTTTGGCCACTTATGTGCCCTTGAACAAGTCAATTTACCTCTCTGGGCCTCAGATTTTCATCAAATAGGTGTATTACCACCTACCTGACAGAGCTGTTATAAGGATCAGAGCTACTGTGCTATGTACAAAGTGTGTGGCACCTAGTAGGTCCCACATGATCATTTTAGCCATCACAGGTTAAAGGAACCTCTAGACCCCTGAGGCTGCCATGATGGAGAAGACCCCAGCCTGCGGGAGCCATGTCGTGGTCCTCCTGACAGGGACAGCACACTGAGCTGCAGACTGAGCCAGTCCGAAACAGCAAGTCGGGTTCTTTTACAAATAACCTTAATGGTGCACTTGGACAGGGAGAGTTTGTGCTCCATGGTTCTAACAATAGTTTAGAAAAGTGACCTAGAAATTTCCTTCAAGACAGAAAGTTTAGGAATTGATCATTTCCTGATTACCCCCCTAAGCCCCAATATTTGCATTCCCTCACAATATCAAATATGCCTAATATTACCCCAAACTTACAATCTTATAGGGGCTAAAGAAACAGCAGCCATTATTTTTAAATGAAATCATTCCATAATGATTTCATTTCATTATGGCCATTCCATAATGGCCAATTCCTAACATTCCATAATGGCCAATTCCTAACAATTCCTAACATCCATTCTTAATTTAAATAAGCCACACTCAGATGACCAGCACCCACCAACACACCACCCACCCAGGCATGCTTTGAATCGTTATGCAACAAACTCAATTCACAAGCTCAGGTCTTTTGGAGTTCTTATACCAAAGATCAGAAAGCTATAGAAGAGTCCTAATTGGTTAACAAACAAAAGAGAAGGAAAATGTAAGCAGGATTAACATTCATCACTATCAAGAGACCCAACTTATCATTTCATAAACTTGGATCTGTCATCACCCTGGGTAGAAAGGGAAGAGGCAGCATGCAGAAGCTACAAAGGGCTTTTCAGCACAGTGACTCTGTGTGCTGTGGTGCAGCCACCTCCCCTACCAGAACACCCGGAACACTCCTTCCCCTCCTCCTCCCCCTCCCCCACCCACATACCTCTTTGGAGCACCAGGCACATTTTGGGTGGATTAGCAGACATTCCTCACAGGAGGTGGCACTTCCACTACTGCATATGTTGAGACCTTCAAAGCAAGATAAAGATGTACCAATTAGTTTCTGCCTACAATTACTTCCTTCTTTAACAGGAGATCTCTCTGAGGCTGAAGGGTGCAGGCCTCAATTCTAATTGCAGGTTAAGGCTCATTTGCTGAGGCTAACCATTGAGTTTTCAAAGCATCCACTTGTGTTTGCAGCTTCCATTTCTTCTGCTGGGCCCCCTTGGATTCCCATATCTTTCCCGCATACTCAGAAAATCCTCCCTCATTGAGGGAGAACAAGGCCCCTTTACACTTAGTCCACTCAAAATAGTACAAGAAAAGGAAAGAAAAAAGAACAGATTGGTTTCATTCAGGCATTAAAAAAAAGAAAATCCTAAATCAGATACTATCACATCAAAATCCACAGATACTGAAAAAAAGCCAGCACATCCCTTAAAAACGAACGAATCGCAGGAATACAACATTGAGTTAAGATAAAGGAAATTAATTGATTCTACATCATTAGTAGGTCAAATAAAAAAAAAAAAAACATATCATTGCCTCAGTAGGTAATGGAAAGGCTTTTGATAAAATTCAAAACCCATCCCTGATAAAAGATCAAACTCAAAGATTAGAGGGAAATTGCTTTATCATTGTAAGGGTTCCTTATTTTGAACCTAGGCCAGTCCTACACAGCCCACCCCACTAATCTGGGAGGCATCTCCTGGGCAGGCTCAGCTGTAGTGGTAAGGTTAGGTCCACTGCCCTCTGTCCTTCCCAACCCGGTCCCCCATCCCCACCCCTCCTACTCACCACCTACCACACCAACAGCACAGGTGTCCTTGGGATGTATCATCCCTTTCTTTTCCTCCCTCTCTGAAACATCCAGAACAGATTACTTTCAACCAAGAGCAAAAGTTGTCATTCATTTTCTGTGAATGAAAATGACTCTATTTGGCACTCAGCACTAAAAGATCCACTGGTTTTTCCCAGTCATTGCTTTGACTATAAAGAGAGAGGCACATATTGGATGAGAAGAGAAACCTAGGGCCACCTAGCCCTCAGAAGAGGGTTCAGATCTTAAGAGAAAAAAAGAGTCAAAAGGATTTTTTTAAAGAGAGGCGGGGGGCTGGGCATGGTGGTTCACACCTATCATCCCAGCACTTTGGGAGGCTAAGGCGGGAGGATCACTTGAGCCCAGGAGTTCAAGACCAGCCTGAAAAACATAGACCCAACCTATATAAAACATAAAAACTATCTGGTCATGGTGGTACACACCTGTAGTCCCAGCTACTCTGGGAGGCTGAGCTAGGAGGATTGCTTAAGCCCAGGAGTTCAAAGCTGCAATGAGCTATGATCGTACCACTGCACTCTAGCCTGGGTGACAGAGTGAGACCTTGTCTCTAAAAAAAGAGAGAGAGAGAGAGAGAGTGGAGGAAAACATACAGGAAGGTGGGAAGTTGTTCCCTAGTTCCACTAAATACCATAAAAATATTTATCATAAGACAATCAACACTATTTCTATACTTACAATGAACTATCTGAATATAAAATCAGGAAAGCAATCCCATTTACAATAGCAACAAAAACCATAACCTAACAAAAAAACTGAGTAACAAATTTAAGCAAGCAGGTGAAAGATCTGTACACTGAAAACTACAAAGCACTGATGAAAGAAATTGAAGATCCTCAGAGATGGAAAGATAACCTGTGCTCATGGTTTGAAAGAATTAATATTGTTAAAATGTCTATGCTATCAAAAGTAATCTACAGATTCAATTGCAATCCCTATCAAAATTCTAATAGTATTTTTCACAGCAATCGAAAAAATAGTCCTAAAAATTGTATGAAGCCACAGAAAATTTGTTTGGAACCCTACATAGGCAAAGCAACCTTAGCAAAAAGAATAAAGCTGGAGGCCTCCACTACTTGATTTCAAAATATACTACAAAACTATAGTAATAAAAACAACATGGTGTTAGCATAAAAAAACAAACATATAGACCCCCTGGAATAAAGAATAAAGAACCTGGAAATAAATTCATGCATTTATAGTCAACTGATCTTCAACAAAGGCGCCAAGAATATGCAATGAGGAAAGGGTAGTTTCTTCAATAAATAGTGTTGGGACAATCAGATATTCACATGCAGAAGAATGAAATTAGACGCTTACCTCATGCTATACAAAAAAAATCAACTCAATATGGATTAAAACCTTAAACATTAAATCCAGAAACTGTAACACTGCCAGAAGAAAACATAGGGAAAAACTTCTTGATGTTGGTCTGATCAATGATTTTTTGGATATTACCCCAAAAGCACAGGCAACAAAAACAAAAAAATAGACAAATGGGATTGTATTGAACTTCTGCACAGCAAATGAATCAATCAACACAGTGAAGAGACAACCTAAGGTATGGGAGAAAATATTTGCAAACCATACGTCTGATAAGGGGTTAATATCCAAGACATAGGAAAAACTCAACAAACAATAACTCAATTTAAAAATGTGCAAATAGACATTTCTCAAAAGAAGATATACAAGTGCTAACAGGTATATTAAAAAATGCTCCACATCACTAATCAGGGAAATGCAAATTAAAACCACAATGAGCTATCATTTCATACCTGTTAGAATGCCTATTATCAAACAGAAAAAAGACAGCAAGTATTGGCAAAAATGTAGAGAAAAGGGAACCCTTGTACACTGTTGGTGGGAATGTGAATTAGTACAACCATATGGAAAACAGTATGAAGGTTCCTCAAAAAATAAAAAGTAGAACTACCATATGAGCCAGCAACTACCCAGAGCCCACTTCTGGGTACACAGCCAAAGGAAATCAATCAGTTTGTCAGAGAAAGATATCTGCACTACCATGTTCAGTGAAGCATTATTCACAATAGCCAACACATGGAATCAACCTATGTGTCCAGGGGTAATTATACCATGTGTGGCCTCACTTCAGCAGGAAGAGCCATCCCAGATCCCAACACAGACCAAGGTCTCAGGACAGAACCCACTGGCAACCTGGGCCTGCCTGCACCTGCTCTCACTGACAACCTTCTAATTGTAAAGTGAATCCGATCACTTAGTGATTTTCTAATAAGCACTTTAAAATGGGAGCACGTGCAGGAAAAGAATTGTAAAATGCCAGTTCTGTTTTTTTGGTCAAATCCCCTTACCTGTCAGAAACCCACTATCTGAGGGGGAAAAATCAAATCTAGAATGAAAGTTATTTTCTTCCTCCTTTCCTCAACCTTGTCAAATACACACTCAGGCCTCTGTAGTGAATCATTTTCTTTGATTCATGGAAAATCATGGAGTTGTGGCCCCACAGAGCTAGAAGTGTTTTAAGATGAGTTAGTCAAGTCACCTCATTTTACAGATTTGAGAAGACAAGAGTATGTGACTCGAAACAAGAAGCCCTAACTACAAGAAAGAGGGCAGAAGGGGCCCTGACCAGCAAGTACCCACACAGAGAGCCTGACTGGTGGTTCCTGTGCCACCCCAGACGCAGGGCCCGTGGGACCCGCTGAGCGCCGGGGTCCTCTGGAGGAGCTCTGACCATCCTTGGTCAGAAAAGAATTGGGGGTTGGAAGCCTCATTTCAGATTCTGCTCAAAGCCACACACATTCACAAACACCACTCTCTAATTACCGGAGCCTCATTACTGAGCGCTGGGAACCTGGGCCAGGGGTCCGGGGCTAAGGACAATAAGGGCTCCTCAGTTCTGACCCAGACCGGGCTGGGTTCTGGTATTCTGGGCCACCAGCCTAAAAGATCTTAGGAAGCAATACTGAAGGGGCTCAAAGGATGCGACAGTCAATATGTGATGAAAACATATTGAACAACTGCAAAACATTTGTTATACCCTATTACTAGTTCTTTCTATTATTATTAAATATTCACATGCTATAGTAGTTTGACTATACTCAAAATGATTGCCCTAAAATCAGGTTGCTTCGGGGACAAATTCAAATTCAAAAAACTCTGCCCTAAGCACATCATAAATGCTGGACTAGGGGATGCCGGAGATGCGCAAGTGAATGACCCAGGCCCTGCTGCCCGGAGGCTCACCGGGTGCCAGGTAGCAGGTGGCAGACAGGAACTCCAGGATCCCAAACCATAGGCTGTGCGCTGACACATGTCATAGTGCCAGAGTCACTCCTTTGGCAGCTCTCCCCCTATTAATATTTCAGAGAGTTTGGATTTGGTTGGATGAGTCACTTGGCACTAATAAGCATTTTGAAAAGGAAGGAAGCAATGAATAAAAATCTAAGCAATGGAGTTCACAAATGTCAGAGTGTTGTGTCTAGGTCACAGAATCAGGTGCCAGCAGCCCAGACGATGGCCACATCTCATCTTGGTTGCTGTTTACATAGTGACTATTCCCAGCTCAACTTCCACTCTCTCCAGCCCTCTTCCTTAAAGTCTCTGAAGCCTGGGGTTTATTGCAAACCATAATCTAAAAATATGTTCTCCTTCCAACAGTCATTGACTCACCCCTCTCTTTCATCAATCATATCCAGGCGGCCACCATGTCCGGCCAATCATTCCTTCAAGATGTACGGAATGTTTTTCCTAATCCAATGCTTCCTGCCTGCCTGCACCAGCCCCAACAGCCCAAGCTAGGTCCTCCCATCTAGATCCCTGCCATAGCCTCCTGGCTGGCCTCCCCCCATTTGGACTCTCCCCACTTCTGTCCACCCAACGTGTCCAAGGTCAGATGACTACTGAAGCTTACATCTGCACTTGGAATTTCTTGATTCCAAATATTCAGCAGAATAAGCGAAGTGAGTACAGAAGTGGGTACCAAGCTGGAATGGCCTTTCTAGCTTGAAGGTAGCAAGGCCCTAGAACGCTTCCCCTCCATGTCCTAAACAAATGTAAAAAAATTTAAGTCATACCACATTACTAATTCTATTATTATTAATAGATTTGTCACACAATAGACAAAAAGTTTCCAGTACAGAATCTAGCAACTAGTCATGTCCAAATGTTACCATGACATGCAAATATGCCCTAGAAAGGTTTTATTTCATCA